CGTTAATGTTAAATTTTGTTTTTATATTTATAAGTCAGGGGTGCCCACAGAGGGGTTTTATGTCGCAAGTTTTGCCATCAGAATTTTTGGGAGGCACATTAAGTTTTCAATTTTAAGAGAACATTTAAACCAGGAAATAAAAAAAAAAAAAAAATATCTAAGGGCGCCGCATACTTGGAAGACTGGCAGATATGATTTTATCCTAAGTACTCAACACAAGCAGGGCATTGTCTTCCGTATATCCAGTTTCAGCATTAACTGAAAGGGCCCCGCTTGTTTGAAATATCGGTATGACGTGTCTTTATTGTGTGTATATAATAAATACAACTAATGACTTGGTTTTGGCTTTAGGGCACTGAAACAAATTTAAAAAAGTGTAGCAACAAAAAAAATCTTATGAAATATTATCATCAGTGGCAGGTCGTTTCTACATTCTAAAAGAAACTAATTAGAAAATAAAGACTAATTTCTCCATCCTCAAATTTATTGCCTCCTCCACCCTATTTAAAAATAATGTACCCCCTTTTGACAACGTTCTCGCAATTATTTCAGATGAAATTCTCATTTAAAAGGAAAAAATATTTTAAAACAAAATAATAATGAATTCCTGGCATGGGCATGCGCAGAGGAGGGCAGGGGGAAGCCTTGCCTCCTCTAAATAACACTGATGTTATTTTTTTATTGTAATTGACTAATGTATTGTGCCTTTAATATTATCGAGAAACAAACCAATATTATATCTACAACATAACATATCTAGATTTAAACTAAGATTGATATCATATCTCATATAGATCCATATTAATTATATAAGTGAGAGGGGAAATAATATTTTTTTGGGAGATATGCGTATGCGGCATCGGCCTTGGGTGGGGGGGGTGCACACTATTGTTGTAAGTTATAATTCCTTTCCTATTTATGAATCAAAGATATGAGAAAAATTTATCCTTAGAGCATTATCTCGGCTCCACAATAACTAAAATTAAAGACAAACTGTCAAAAATGTACCATCCTATAACAAGCGCAAATATAGCTTTCTTTTCTCTTTCAAAGGTATCGAAACACCGAAAAATTTATAGAACTCTCAAGTTAAGGGTGTACGATGATATGATAAAGGCAGTTCTGATATATAGCTGTGAGACCTGGGCACTAACTTTCGCCCTTAAAAGACATATTGAAATATTTTAGGGGAAAATTCTCTAAACAATAACCGATGCTATCATTGGTACTAATACAAAGAATAGGCCCAGTAGATAACGGCTTACATAAACCGGTTCACAATCTATATCTCTTGTTATGAATATAAGCAGGTTAAGATGGGCGAGGTATGTAGCTCGATGTAATCCATTAGGAAACCTCTATACAATAATTAATGCCTCAATCGTTAGTAAAATACCACTTGAGAGACCAATAACTAGATCAATAAACCAAGATATTGTAGAGCTTTATTCAGAAAACTGGTAAGCTTGGAAGGCTGTGGCGCTATATAGGCTGAAGTGGTGGATGTAGTTTCACTACAAGGTCTGTGAGACCAACAATATAAATATATATAAATATACTACTTTTCTAACAAAAATTTGCTATAGGCTGGAAAAATTTGCTTTATAATTTTAAATAACTTATAATAATAATAATAAGGCTTAGCGAGCCCGAAGGTTCGATGCCGACACCACCAATCGCTTGTTACACACCTCCCTCCACCGTTCGCCGTCCAAACCCAGTCCCTTCAAATCGGCTTTAATGCAATCTTCCCACCTTCGCTTCGGTCTACCCCTCGGACGCTTACCATTCGGCACAGCAAATATTAACCTTTTAGGAATTCTCTCGTTACTAAGCCCAACAACTTTACAAGCCCATTTGATTCGCCGCGATGAAATTACCTCAATTATATTACCCGGATACAGCTCACGCAATTCAGCGTTGTGTAACCGTCTGAACTCTCCGGTTAACTCATCCTTCTTCGGTCCGAATATTCTACGCAATACTTTATTTTCAAAAACCTTAAGACGCTGCTCATCCCTTAATGTAAGCGGCCAAGTTTCGCATCCATAAAGAACTGTAGGCAAGATAATCGTTTTATAGATTCTAATTTTTAAGGCCCGGGACAAGAGGCGCGAACTAAGTAGTTTTGTCACAGAAAAATAACAAGCATTCCCCGCCTTCAGTCTAACCTTAATCTCTTCTTCAATTTCGTTTTTTCTAGTTATCGTAGAACCTAGATACCTAAATTTATCTACCTGTTCAAACATATTACCATCTATATCGATATCACCAGTAGTATCGCCATTTTTGCAGCTAACCATATATTTTGTTTTATCCACGTTTATTTCGAGTCCTAGTTCTTTACCGGCTTTCATTAACGTTGTCGTATTTAGTTTTATAGTTTCAACGTCTTCGCTTAACAGTACCAGATCATCAGCATAGCCCAGCACGGATGTTGTCCCGCCCAGATCCAACCCTTTCTCGGTTCGCATTACCTCCCTAATGGCATGTTCTAATGCCAAATTGAACAGGACAGGCGAAAGAGAATCCCCCTGTTTTAAGCCCGAACGAACCTCAAATTTTTCGGACACATTATTACCGATTCTAACTTTATTGAGTGTCTCCGTCAAGCACATCCTGACTAGATTTACTAGTTTTTTTGGAATCCCCTGCTCGATTAGAATATTATACAGTTTCTGGCGGTCAATAGAATCGTAAGCCTTTTTAAAATCTATATACAGCTGGTGAACAATACCGTTGTACTCCAATTTTTTCTCTAATATTTGCCGTAAAGAAAATATTTGATCAATCGTCGAACGATTCCGTCTAAATCCGCATTGGTAGTCTCCGATAATTTCCTCGGCGTATTTCGTGATTCGACTGGTTAAGATTAAAGTGAATATTTTATAACACACCGGAAGGAGTGAAATTCCTCGATAGTTATTACAATCCGTCCTCGGACCCTTTTTGTGAATCGGAATAAGAATAGATTCTTTCCATTCTTCAGGTAATTTCTCGTTCACCCAGATCTTTTTAACCAACCGATGTATTTTAGAAACTCCAGCTTCCCCGCATGCCTTAACTAGTTCAGTAGGAATATTATCGATTCCCGCTGCTTTATATGATTTTAATTTTCCGATAGCTACTTCAACTTCCTCTTTACTTGGTCCTTCTATTAACGGTTCAGCACTCTGGTACTCAGAAGGAGGACACAGATCATAATTTCTCGTATTTAAAATATTGTCAAAGTGGTCCTTAAACTTATTCAATATGTCAACCGGATCGGTCAGAATATTGTTATTATCATCCCTAATTCCAGACGTTACGGGCCCTACATATTTACGTGATCTGTTTATACCTTTGTACATGTTTCTTACGTTATTTTCGATTCTGTTAGTTTCTATTTCAATTATTTTGTTTTTAAGATACTCCCTTTTTTTATTTTTGAACAATTTTGTCGTTTCGTTCTTTGAGATTCGGAAGAATTCCAGATTGTCTTCGCTAGGATTATTTAGAGCTTTTAATTTAGCGGCTTTTCTTTTTTCACACATGTTTAAGCAATCTTCATCAAACCACGGTTTGTTATTCTTATTTTCCTTTTTTCCTAGACACGAGTTACCGACCGCTTTAATATTATCCCTGATCTCTATCCATAACTTGTCAATATCTTCGTGGTCCTCGTCAGGAAGCTCTAAAGCTTCAAACCTATTCTTAACATCTAGCTCGAATTGGTTTCTAATTGATGGATTTTTTAATTTTTCCAAATTAAAATTTTTAAATAACTTATATCTTCAGTTAATGAAAAGGTAATGGATGATTTCCTTTCGTCCTGGATGATTCACCTTTTGTCCTAAAAAATTATTTTCAATTATTAAAAACCCGTATTTACTATAAGAAATGCCTATTTAAAAGGTTTTTAATATAAAAATAATAATTTAAATTAAAACATTTTAAAGTATTTTTTGTCATATTTACGGTCTTATTACCTGATGGAACTGGTGTGTTCCAAAAAATGTTTTTTCCTGAGTAAAATAAATTACTTTACATTTAACCTCTGACTTAATGGAAAAACAATGTAATGGGAATGAAGATTGAGATTAAGGATCAATGACCTTTAGAAGTGATGAGATTACTGAGGTTACGAGAAGCTAAGATTAGTCAATGATGCCTCAGGGCTTACTCCATTTCGGGGCCTGCTACGACAGTTACATACACCTGAGGTTAACTTTAGTAGCTTTACCTTAACATTTAATTTACTTAATTGCTAAGTAACCTAGTAAATATTGGCCATCCTTCTACAATAGATCAATTATAGGAAATTATAAATTTTAACGCACACACACACACACACGCGCATATATATATATATATATTTTTTTATTTATTTTTAGTTGGCTCTACAGACCTTGTAGTTCTTTGCCCACCTGAACCAACTTGCTCCACCTCTGTCTATCTCGGGCCACTGCTTTCCACTTTGCAGCATGAAGCTCAGCCGTATCTTTGTTGATCCTATCTATCCATCTGGTTTTTGGCCTCCCACGTGGTCTCTTGCCTAAAGGCCGGTCCACACGCTCCGTTTTGTACAACGTTTTGTCTGCGCAGTCTTAAGACGGAATGAAAACGTTGCAATTTGCAGAGCGTCCACACGGCACAGACATATCCGTATATTTTGCTCAGTTTTGTGTGAAATCGCCATGGAGGAGGTACTACTCTGGTCGATTTTCGCGATGTGTATTGTTAAAAAAAAAGATTGGAACATCTCAGAAGTACCCGGCGTTCAAAGTGGTCGCGGAAGTGGCTTCTAAAAAGGCAGCACTTTTCCCATATCAAATTATTGCGTGAATTACGTGATGAACCTAATGATTGGCGGAATTACTTGCGAATGGACATTTACACATATACTTATTTATTGGAATTGGTGACACCGCATATCAACAAAGAAAATACTTGTATGAGAACAGCAATTTCAGCACATGAAAGGCTAACAGCAACTTTTAGATTTTTGGCAACTGGTGGAAGTTACAAAGACCTGGAATTCACAGCAATTATATCGAAACAAGCGTTAAGTGAAATCATTCCCGAAACATGTGAAGCTATCTACAAGGTGCTGAAGAATGAGTACTTGAAGGTAAGTAAAAATTTATTTAATTATTTATTTAATTGTTTATTTTATTATTAAGCATTGCTAATTACAATCATATAACAATATTGATAATACCATAATGCTATTGTCTATAAAAGATTTATATGAACCTTAAAAGTAACATTAGTGTTTCACAAAAGTTAGGCTAAGCTGAACGAAAATGCACGCTAGTACTTCAGTTGGGTTGAATTGTTGACATGTAGTTTGCAGCGGAAGAGTGGGCAAGGCCTTGACTGGCGTGTGTCTGTTGATGTTGTTCACCTTCCTGTGGGATGATGCGTGAAACTGCCGGAGTTTGCCCAATTGTTTTATACTTTTTTTCTGACCTGTTCTGGCGGATCGTCAATTTGCGAGTCTTCATTTTCCTCCATGGTATTCCTAGACTGCCTTGGTGTATCCTGATCATTCAGGAAATGTAACAAATCAAAATACCAGAGAGATGGCTTGTATATTTCGTCTTCTCCAGCCCCAGATCGAATCGATTTATTTATTTTAGCCAATTCTTTTCGGTACACGCTTCTCAATGAATTTATTTTTTTCACAACTGTCTCCCGGTTTGCCGTTACATCAATTTCTCTAAATTTATTAGCTAAAATTTCATACGCCTCCGCCTTCTTATCCCTGTCACTGTATTCTTTTGATTTTACATTCCAAATGCACGGGAAACTTTCATACAGAGCAATAAAATCAGTTAAAAACTCCCTAGAACATTGCCGAAGGCCAGCCATTGTCGCCCGACGGATTGAAACTGAGTAGCAAAACGGATCGGAAAACGGTGCTACCGTCCACATGCGCCGACTTGCCTGCGCAGTTCAAGGAAATCTGAGCTGTCTGGCTCAGTTTTACTAAGACTGTACCGTCTTCCAAATGGATTCAAAACTGCACTGTTTTCCAATCCACACGCAACGTTTTATCTGCAACGTTTTGAACTGCGCAGACAAAACGTTGTGCAAAACGGAGCGTGTGGACCGGCCTTAATACTCTGGCATTCATTGTTCTGTAAAGGCTTCCCGATGAATTGCTTCGAACTACGTGCCCCGCTCATCTTACCTCCTTGCCTTCTTATCATGAGATATTGATGGATCCGTTTCTTTTAGCAGTTCTTTATTGTTCAATCTCCTCCATGTGTTAAGGTTCTGATCCCAGATAGGTCCTGTTATCGAACGGAGAACTTTTCGTCTAGTGTGCCGGTTAGTGGCCAGGTTTCACAGCCGTACAGCAAAACTGACTTTATCACAGCGTTTTTGATTTTTTGAAAATATTCTGCATTTCAGTACCCGTGAAAATGAGAAAAAAAGCTCTGTTCTCACTTGTTATTCCATCTGCGTTTCAGAGTTTATACATCGGTTTTTACGTTAAAAGAGAGAAGTAAAATAAAATTGCAATGCCGCTCAACGTTCTTGAATCGTTAAACGACACAGCATAATGGTCAGCCTTATTGATAATAAAAATAACACAAAAAAATGATAAGTTTTATGGAATTTCTTTTTTTTTGTTCATTTCCTGCCTGTCTCCAAAATTCGCAACTTAATTCCCAAAATCAATATAGATAGATATAGGTATACATATAGATTCCTAGCTAGTCCAAAATGATGGATTCCGCCATACTATGCAGCTGATTTCTTTCCATTCCCAGCTCCTCTAAAAAACTACCAGTTGAAGGAGGAATTGTCTCCCTACTTTCGAACTGAAGTTCCCGAACCGAAAACTTTCGTTCACCAAATTCTTCTATATTCTTTTTATAGATATGGAATTTTATATATTCCTTCTTTCTCTATTAGTATCGTCAGATCTTAATACAAATCGTTTGTTTAAAATGTTATTGTTGGATTCACTATCAGAGTCTACTTTCCTTGGTTTATTCGAAAGTAGGATCATACTAAGAATTTCACATTATAAAAATGGCCGGATACACAGCGTGTTTTGAAGAACATTATATGTTTGGTGAACACAAGTAGCGTTGCTATACTTTTGTCAAATATTTCCTACAAGTTGGATCAATTTGGTTCCACACCTAAGGAAACCCTTTTACATTGTTAATTTTCTCTATCAAACTAAATTCATCTAAAAACTGGTTGAGAAATTTAACCATGTGGAGGACCTTTAATGGCATTGCAAGGAAAGCTGCGCACTCATAATGAACAAAGTCGCGGAAAACAGTAAATTGACTATAAAACCTTCTTATTCTTCTCCCATGGCGCTACAACTCGGCCTCCTGCAGCTTCAACCGCCAGTCACCTCTGAGGAGTGCAGCCGCCCTTCAACCGTGGACTCCAAGGATGGCGCTTTGCTTCCCACCATCAGTCTAAGTTATAGTCTGCCTAACCGCCCTATTTTGTAAATTTGCTCCTCTAATAAATTTCTAAATATATGATCTGCAGGCATCCGGTGAACGTGCTCAGCCCATTTTAATCCGCGTTAAAAAACCAAAAAAAAAACCTGTTGCCGATAGTTGACCTCTGAATTACTGAATTGTTCATTGATATAGAAATGGTGTCAAAGCTGTTAAAAATTAATATTTTTGACATACGATTTACAAATAATTGGTTTTCTTCTCTATAGATTAGTTGGATAGGTCGTACTTTTTTTTTTTTGACATAGAGAAAGTCGGAACACATGTTCTTTGAAAAGAATAAAAAATTCTGAGAATACTGCCAACCTAAAATATCAACTATTCCTGTCTCAAATGGAAAACCTCGAAAAAAAAATCCAATCTCCATAATGCAGCATCTGTTTTTCCTATCATACATTTTTTTATATCCAATTCCATCGCTCTGTTCCACCTTCCAAAAAAAAAAAAAAAGAAAATGAAAATGAGAGCGCTACTCCTACAAATAATTTATCTGTCTGGGGTACAGTGATTACATTAATTATTATTTTGGAGTTATTAACTTATCTTAATGATTTATTTTTATTTTTAACTTCTTTATTGAGATATCTGTCACATTCAAGGACAATAGTGATAGTGATATAGAGTAGCTCATTCATACCATACAATAAATAAAATAATAAACGGCAATATAATAATACTAAATAAATTGTATATAAACTAAAATATGTTAAACTAAATAAAAATAAACCAATCTAACACAATAAATAAACCAGACATATATGGCTTGAGTGAAGAATCTGGCCATTGCCATAACTCCTATATATTCTTACAAGTCTCTGGACCATTGCCGCTTCAACCTTCGAGGAAGATTGTAGGGATGGCTGGAGCTAGAGAATTCTTTATCTTTTCACCTAAGGATTGAAAGTTTGCACCTCCGACTATAGATGGGTTAGAAAAAATAATTTTTGAATTATTAATTTCAGTTCTTCTCAATTCTCTTGAAGGATGGTCAGAAGTACAGACTAGATAGGGATTTTGCAATTGGATTTGGTGGAATTTGAAAAATTTTTGAGGGATAAGGTCTAGTGCAAATGGGATATTAAGGTCATGATGTAGGGTTTGGTTGGTTACATAGAACGGAGCATCAACTATTGTTCGAAGGACTTGGACTGAAAGGATTGAATGCGTTTGATGTTAGAAAATTTTGCTGTCCCCCACAGTTTCAGTCTGTAGGTCCAAATAGGTTTCAGTATTGTCTTGTAGATCAGTAGTTTGTTGTCAATTGAAATTTGAGATATTCTGTTCAGTAGTCTATATAGCTGGCCATATCGTCGGTTGAGTTCTTGTCTTTTGAGTCTTGTATGTGGGTTCCATGTCAGTCTTCGGTCTAAGAGAAAGCCAAGATACCGGACTGTGTCTGAGTAAGGAAGCTGGATGGAATTGAAGTGTACTGGTAGACAGTAATTGCGTCGGAGAGTAAAGATAATATGTTTGCATTTCGACTCATTCACTTTAATGCGCCATTCATTACACCAATGCTCAATCAGGGAGAGGTGCGTTTGTAGATTTGAGGATGCTATTTCAGAATCTGAGTTTGATGATAGGATTGCGGTGTCATCAGCAAATGTTGCAAGGAAGGTATCGGAATGAGCAGGGAAGTAAGCGGTAAGACGGGACCCAAGACGTTGCCTAGAGGAATACCGGCTTTATTTGGATACATATCGGAAAATGCCGTTCCGCAGCGTACTCAGAAGGGGCGGTCAGAGAGATATGATCGAAGGATTAGGTATAAGGACTGAGGGAGATGGATTTTCAGTTTGTAGAGCAGCCCGGGGTGCCATACCCGGTCAAAAGCCTGTGCTATGTCCAGAAATGCACACTAACAGTATTGCTTGTTTTCTAGGGCTGTTGATATATGATCAGCGACTCGAAATCCTTGTTGAACAGTGGAATGTTTTGAGCGAAAACCAAACTGATGTGAAGGAATATTTTGGGATTCTATGAGTGGTAGGAGTCGTTTCAAAGAGATCTTTTCAAAGATTTTGGAAAGGATTGGGAGTAGGCTGATTGGTCTATAGGATATCAAGCTGTTGGGAGGTTTACCTGGTTTTGGGAAAGGATAATGGTGGAGTGTTTCCATAATAGAGGAAAGTGGGTGGTACGAAGTATGCAATTGTAGATATATGTAAGGAATATGACTGCTTTGGATGGAAGTTGTGGAAGGATCTGAGGGGTAAGGAGATCATATCCAGGAGATTTATGGGGGATTAGCTTTTGTAATTAAAATTTCACTTCGGAAGGATGAATTGCTTTAGTAGGCAAGGAAAGTGGGATAGATGATGTAAGGAATTCTTCTACTGTTACGGTGTGGGCAGGATAGGATTCCGGATGGGGAATAAATGTATTGAAGAGGTATTTGGCGAACTCTTCGGCTTTTATGTTCGTCAGATGCTGCCCAGGAGCTGTCATCTCGTGGAAGTGGATTTGAAATTTGGTGAGGGTTTAGGATTTTCGTTGTGGTTTTCCAAAGAGAATTGTCACGAACAGAGAGGGGGATAGGTAGGAGTTCAAGTATTGTGATCTGAAGGTGGCTAATTCCAGTTTTAATTTTTTACAGTAATAATTATAGGAGCTGCGGTCGGTAGGATGTTGAGGACGTTGCCACAATAGTCTGGTACGGCGTTTGGTGTGGATTAGGTCAAGGAGGTGTTGGGGGTAGAATGGTCTTTTTAGGAATTCTGGAGGAGTGTTTTGGGAAGGAGGCAGTCCAGGCGGCTTGTTGGATTGTGGTAGTAAAGTATCTAGGTCATCGGAAGTTTTTAAGGATACATTGAGATGAATTTTTTCGGAGAGGATTTGGCGGAAAAGGTCCCAGTTAACGGAGCCCCTAATAAATGACGGTGGAGAAGGTTTGGGAACGGGTTCAAGTGAAACATTAAGAATTAATGGAATATGGTCAGAGGAAAGTTCAGTTATATGTGTAATGGAACAATGAAGGAGACTTAAGCCGCTGTGGATAAAGAAATCAAGAATATCAGGATTACGGTTAGGATCTGTGGCCCAGTAAGTAGGAGAGTTGGGGGAAAGAAGGTGAAAACGTTGGGAATTGAGTGCAGAAAGCAGGGTTCGGCCACGAGAATTCGTGGTTCTGGAATCCCGTTGTTGCTGCTTGACATTTAAGTCTGCACCCA